AAAAAGCCAGTGCTGCAAATTGGAACGGTGAAACAAGTGAAGAAAAAACGCTAAAATAACATTGAAAATGCAAAAAAATTAAGCACATTTTTCATTTTGCTGCAACAAATTCTCTGGTTGCTTTTTTCTTTCCATTCGAAATTCACAGTCTGAATGTGTAGTTTTGTAGTCAGTTTTTCTGTTGGTGCTGTCGTTGTTCTTGTTGCAAATTCTCTACAGCGTCGAGTTAAAATGAAACACGACATTGCCAAATGAGTGCTTTGCATACGATAAGCATTGTAAAATTGATTGGATAAAAATGTGTGCACACTGATTCGTGCAACAAAAGCATTACTTTGATCACGGTTTTATTTTTGCTGAATCAATTGACTGCTGTACAAAAGTTCTTTTTTCCCAATCTTGCTCCAGTCTCGTTCGCTTTTTTTTATTTCGTTTGTTGCACAAAAATTCATTTACAAAACTGTCAGCGCTCATTTGTTTGGCATCATGCAACAGAAACCCGTATATATATTTTTGTACAAATCTGATTTACGCGAAACTTTGCCGCAGCTTTCATATCGTTCATTCATTCCGCGAACTATTCCATTTCATCATGGCGAATTACTTTTCTAACGACTACCAAACAATATGCTACAGCAGCCAAAAATGATCTTTTTTCCACCAGAAAAGGGAGCAAAACGGTTGGAACCGGGAGTTGGTAGACAGAGAAAAAATGATGTTTCCATTCAGTTCAGTTGCTGCGATTTTAGCTGTCATAAAGTTTTCACGATTATTAATGAAATGCATATAGACTGCGATAGCATTTTATATACGTTCACATACATATGAATGTGTGGTGCGGTGGAGCTGCTTCACCATGCATATTCCGATAAATTGACCGAACTCCGACGTTTCGAATTGATGATGAACGCAGTCTGTCGTATGCACTGTTTGATGTGAAAAATGCACATTTCATTTGTCGCCTGTCACTTTTTGAAAACAAGCGCGATTACTTCATTGAAATAGCGTATAAACCGTTTGAACACTACAAGCGCACCCAAGACACATCCTAACGACGGCCGCTATTGAAATTATGAAATAACAGCAAAAGAAAGAGAGAGGGCACTACAATGTTGTCTAACAGTGAAATATATTGTTTTCAACAAAATTGCTCACTTCAATCACGCTGCCGCCTTGTATTTGTGTGTGTGAAAAATTATTCGATTTGTTCATTTGTAAGCAATAAATATCAAAGGAATATTAAATTCTCACATTGAATCTCATAACATCACTGAATCAATGAATGTAATCCGGATTGAATACAGTGAAATTCCTATCGATGAAACCGTTTATTTTGCTGAACGAGAAAAAACCCACTTTACTGTGAAAACCATCGCTTCGAATTGAGTTGAATTGTTCGAATCGTTTGCGAAAAACAAAAGTTTTAATTGGATAGCAAAAAAAAATGCAATCATTTATTGGCTTAATTATTGCCGCTCTTCCTGAAACCTATCATTTTCGATTGCAAATTCGAAGTCTATCATTTTCGATAGGGATTGTAATACAATCATTGTATTAATAAGGGCACATCAAATATGTCAATGTACTTTCATTTCATCGTAAAAAAACGTCTAATTAAAAACAAACTACTTAAATGAGCTTAATATAATTGGTTTCGACTGGCAACCAGTTCACGAAATGTCAATACCATTTGAATTATGGACAAAAAACATGTTGCGTCAGCTCTTAATATCCATAAAAGGACTCGAGTTCAACTTAATTGATTGAAGGTAATTCAATGAATCGAACGGGTAAAAATTAAGCCAATTAAATTAAGGCAAAAAAACAAACCAGCACTGAAATGAAGTATTTTCGTATGTAAATTGACCAGGTGCGACTGTCCCATCGTTAATAAAATATGAATATATATGAAATCTACTGTGGGATTGATATTTAAATCCAATGGTTCATTTGCGTGATGTTGCTCGTCAGCATCAGCGTCAAGCGCGCGTTGCTGCACCGTTGGTTGAATATTTCATTGTGTGATTCGCATGGGGCTTCATCAAGTGCATTGTGTTCAATAGAATTTGGCGTAAACGAGGTGAAATATGCATTAAACGTTAATGACATTCCATTTCCCTGGGTTCACTCCAACCAACTTATCGTATTAATCCTGATCTCAATCCTCTTATATAATCTAAATCGTTTGAAATCTGTTAATGGGGAGATGTGAGCTTTGGCCAAACTTAAATTCGAAAACTCAGTTCGTGAGTTTGATTCGTGTTTGAATGATATGGTAATCCTCAATTTTTGTCAATATTACTTGAATATCTTGGAACTTGTATCAAATGTAAAGTCAAATTATCAACAATTTCCTTATATTAAATCGAGGCAGAGAGAAAGAAAGAGAGATACGGGTCGAAAGTGTTTATTTTCCATTCGGATTTGAAATCATAAATTTCCAACAAATCTACAACTTGCACTCCGTACAATTGTGCGAACATTTTCTAAAGTTTGAAAAGCGCATCGCTGAAAATATATAAAGCGAATGAAAAGTAATTGAAATGCCACGAACTTTCTATGTCTATTTCGATTTGCATGACCTGCGTTCGTTCCACTTTTGGGGCAATGTCTCTTATTTTTCTTCCACATGCGGAGCGCGAACGATCGTGTGTTGCGCGCTATTGTGATTTAAATATTTTTCATTGGGATAAAAAGGCAAGCGTTGAGCGACGAACGGGTGTTGTATCTGTCTGTGTGTGTGTGCGGTGCACAAAAAGTCCAAAGGAATCATAAAAGCGATGCAATCGCTATCTACCTCAAAGTGGAATCGGTGCTGTGGGACAGAATAAGAGAGGAGAGAGTGGTCGTAAGCGCACGCGGCAATATGATAAGTTTTGTGAAAAGAAAACGACGAAAATGTCTCATTTGAATGGTGGCGTAATGTAAATGTGGACCATCGAATGTGCGCACAAAATGCCAGTTCATATGGAAATTTATAAAATAACTTTATGATCTTCGTAGCAATTCCATTTAAATTACAACAATTCAAGCATTGCAAATGGCAGAGAGAGATACAGAGACAGAGACAGAGACAGAGACAGAGACAGAGACAGAGACAGAGACAGAGACAGAGACAGAGAGAAAGCATAAAATGGAGAATGAGTGAATCGGTGTCGGTTGCTTCGTATTGTCCCTCCGGTGCATTTTCACGGTTTTGGTTCTGAACTCTTTATTGCAATCGCAACCAAAAACTGATGTTCCCGCTTGTTTCCACACTCATATTTTTTTTTCTAGACCACCTCAAATGGAAGTAAGTGCAGTTGTATTGTTCCCTTTGTCGGAACAAAAGAGAAAGAAATGCTGAACGAACAAGCAAATAAATGAAAAAAGCATTTTTATGATGTTTGTCGCACGAAAGTTTTATAAAAATTTCAAGTTAGTAAATTAAAAAAGCATCTCTAGATCATGAAATAAAACAGAATGGAACATTCATATGCGCATATGTTCAGCTCATTTCAAATGGAATGATTTTGCGAAAACTTTTCTCTTCTCTCCAAGCATTGCATACACCGATGCGCTCGTACGAGCGCGCACGCGCATCGCATTCAGTGCATTTCATACAAATATTGCACAGATCCTTCGAAGTTTTCAATGCACTCGCAATGCAAATCCAAGCAAATATTATATTCATTGCGCGATGCACAACGACATGATGCACACGAGAAAAAAAAGAGCAAATGTCTTTTGTTCGAATTCTTCAAAGTGTGTACGGGAAAAGTCAGTGGCTGCTCATGAAAATGCAAGAATTCGCATAGTTCGCATGTAAACATGATGCACGGTATATTGTTTGCGATTGTTCGATCCGCTTTTGTTCACCGACAATTTTTTTGTGACACACATTTTATCGTCTTCTTGAAATATTTACCTAAATGCTCAATATACGTACGAGTTTTTCTCGTTTTTGTTCTGCATCAATTTCCGTATTTGCCGTGGATCATTTTACATTGTAACTTGGTCCATGTTTTGTACTCAAATTTGTAGCAAATTATCTTTTCAACGCATGCATCAACAATATGGAATGTGTTTTGCCAATTTTTCATTGTTCGAACTACACAGACGTCAGGCGATTTATTTCAATGAACATTATCTATCAAGCTCAAGTGCACAATACACTTTTTCCCCAGAAAGTTTATTTCAGCTTACAATAGCTTTAATTTCCGAACATTTTATGAAACAAAACTCTGCATTGAATTTACCAACGAAAAAAATCTTTTGTAGATGAAGTTGCGTGGATTTATTTGGACATTTCATAAATATACACTGCTCTGATCCCTTTTTCTTCACACGGCTAGTGAAAGTCGTTTCGTTCCATTCATTGTCGTATCAAAATACCTTTTTTGTTCTGAATGCCTCTGAAAATGGTTAGTTATTCTCGCTGCAATGCCGTACACCTTAATAAGTAGTGTGTACAATGTACAATGCAATCTCGAACACTGCATGAAATGTAAACATCTACGATAGATTCTGCACCTTCAATTTACACTCTCAAATTTTTTACGTGTATTTTCCATTCGCTTTATTTCCCACTCTATCTTCCATAGAGGATGGCGTGCTTTTTTCTTCTCGTGCCCTCGTACGAATACGGAAATAGCTTGCATCCGAAAGCTTTGAATACAAAATAGCTCAAAATAGTTATGAAACAATAACGACGCCCGTTGCCCGTGCCATGTTTCGTGTGCGATGCTATGTATTTGTCGGCGATCGCTTTAATGCTCCATTTTCAAAAGTCCATTGTTTGCTACTTTTGCCTTGCTATTGCTTTGTTATTTGTTTCATTTGCCCCCCTCCTTCTCTCTGTCTGTTTCACTCGGCTGCTGCCATCTATTTCGTTCCATCTTTTGTTTATTTTTCCATATTTTCCCTCTATAATTTTCGTCATACTTTTTTTCGGGTGTATTTTTGAATCACCTGAAAGCGAGAGATGTTTGTCATATTTTTTCACTTCACAATGCAAACTTATTTTGAACAAAAGCAGTAGACTAGAATGGGGAAAAAAGGAAACATCAGGAAGTGGGTTGGAATCATTTCGTAAACGACGAAATCAAAAGGTACAAAATGAAGCGAACGTTTCTGATTTCCTTATTATGCATTAAATTCCAATGGAGCAAACCATTGTGTTGTTCTCCGATTTTTGTTGTTCTCCAATCTTTTTGTTGCCTTCAGATATGTAGTTCGGAGCAATTTTCATTCGAATCGAAATGTTATGATTATTTTCCAACGAAATTATGCTTGAAGAATAAGTTCACCATTATTCTTCCTCCACTTCTTCGATTTGGAATTATGATTTCGACGTAATACTAATTGTAGATGTTCAAAAATCACCTGAGGGATCTTCGCATTCGAATGATTTATTACGGTCATTTGTGCCGAAGCAAATATTTATTGTCGATAAATAAACACATCGAACCACTTTCTAGCGGTGTATTTCATTCCGATATTTAAATCATCCATTTTCGACCGGTTGAACAATCACAAAACCAACAAATGGATTTTGCTCCATATTTTCCGGTGCAATAAAAATCAGAGCAATTGTGCTGAGTTCTGGATAATGGAAATAATCGGGCAAAAATTGTGGGTCAATGTAAAAGCAACGAGCGTGAAACTGCATCCGAATAAACAACCCAGTGGAAAACAATGGCAACAGACAGAAAAGAAAACACCAAATGAATTTAAAAAGAGAATTTCAAAGAGTAAATCGTCAGAATGAAGGGAGAGAAAATAAAAAAAACTCGTTTAAAACGAAGATAGCGATCGACGACGGTAATAAAGTAGAAACGGAAAAAAAGGTGCTCAACGTCGCTAAATACATTTATAAGTGAGTAGCTCCTTAAGAGACCATAATGCTTTTTTCTTCCATTCCAACCCATCTGCTTCCATTTAATTTATGCTATTTTCTTGCTACTCTGACAGCCAGCAGCACACAAGAGCAGAGCGGTCAACGAGCGCTCGTTCGTTCGTTCGTATGCGAACATGTTCGTTTGTTCGTTCGTTCGTTCGTAGAATCTACGAACATGTTCGTTCGTTCGTTCGTTCGTAGAATCTACGAACATGTTCGTTCGTTCGTAGAATCTACGAACATGTTCGTTTGTTCATTCGTTCGTTCGTAGGTAAAATTTCATTTTTTTTTTCAAACAAAAAATTTTCTTATTTCTTAAAAAAATATAGGAATGATCCTATGTACTCAATAATACTGTAAGCACTGTAATACTGTAATTTTCAAGTTGTGAACATTATTTTCGCACAAAAAATTGAACGAATATTTTTTTGAGTTTCCACTTGCACAATTGGATGCATAATAATGCAATAAGCAATAATAATGCTGGTTTCAAATGTTGTGAAACGAAGAAAGTGATGCATACGGAGAGAGAGATAGAAAAAGTGACAAAGACAGTGTTCATCTCTTTTTGCCAAGTATGGTGTGCACATTTCAGATTCGTCTTGTTGCTGTGATATCATGAAGCACGTTGTCGCTCGAACTGTGTGTGTTGTACGATCACAGAACAAAACATTGTCTAAACGTATAGCTGTTTTGCACGTGGCGATTTAACACAGTGCGTAAAACACACACTGTTTGAACGTCCATGTAATTTAAATCATCACTGCAACAAGTCTCTCTGAATTGCACACCATAAATGACAAAAAGAGATGAACTTTGCTGTCTTTGTCATTTTTATCCATCGGCGTGACATGCTTCATACAAACGGAATTTCGTACAAGCAGCGCCCGTGTACTTCGTAGTGGAAAAAAAGTGAAGCTTGCTTGTCACCAATATTGATGTTCACGAACATCAAATTGTTTATGCGTTATTTCGCCCATTTTATGAACTGGAAATGAAAAGTTCTTCAATTTCTAGCAAATTTCACATATGAATTCATAAACACATCGAGAAAACACAACTTTTTTTCACATAAAAAGCAAAAGCAAGATGATTTTTTCGTTGATGGTTGTTCGATCCTGGATCGTTTGTGATTCATTAATGATTTGCAACACATCCATTTTTGATTTCGATATTCCAACTGAATACGATGTTTTGTATTCATTAAACAATTCCATTTTGATCACAAAATAATTTTTTATTAAAATGGCTATGACGAAAAACCACGCGAACGATTGCAAACGATAGCACAAACATTAATGTCTAGGAACATCAAATACGGAAGATTAATGATTTTATCATTCAATTTCTTCCTTTGGCGTCGATTTCGCAATACAATGGGACGGTTGATTGATTTTGTCATGTCGATTTAGGCCCCAATGCTTGATGCCTTCCAAATGTTTTTCGATTACACTGCGTTTGCCCTTATTGGAATGTTGAATGGCAAAATTTAAATTATCACGGAAATTAGTTTTCTTCGACATCGGTGGTGGGCACTGGGCACTTCGTCGGTCGATTCGGGGAACATCAGCAAACCGGCAGACTGAAAATTATTTTATGTTCGATTAAATGCGTTCGATTAATTGTTTGTCGCCAATAACAAATTATATTACATTCAAAGTTGATTTTTGAAGATATCTTTTATAAATGTATACTTAAAAATCACAATAGAGATTTTATTTGGAATGAAACAATAAAATACAAAAAAATTACCATTTTTATTCTGAAAAAATATAAAACTTGCAGATTAGATCAACACAAAATGTTTGTTTGCTTGTATTTTTATTTATTTTGTTTTGTTGCTTCACATCGGCGAATTAATTTGACATTTGTGTCGAACTTCAAGTCAGTGTTTCCCGATGAATTCGCTTTGACAATAATGTCAATTCGAATTTGATGTTCCTAGACATTAATGTTTGTGCTATCGTTTGCAATCGTTCGCGTGGTTTTTCGTCACAGCCATTTCAATAAAAAATTATTTTCTGATCAAAATGGAATTGTTTAATGAATACAAAACATCGTATTCAGTTGGAATATCGAAATCAAAAATGGATGTGTTGCAAATCGTTGATGAATCACAAACGATCCAGGATCGAACAACCATCAACGAAAAAATCATCTTGCTTATGCTTTTTATGTGAAAAAATAGTTGTGTTTTCTCGATGTGTTTATGAATTCATATGTGAAATTTGCTAGAAATTGAAGAACTTTTTATTTCCAGTGCATAAAGTGGGCGAAATAACGCATAAACAATTTGATGTTCGTGAACATCAATATTGGTGACAAGCAAGCTTCACTTTTTTTCCACTACGAAGTACACGGGCGCTGTACCCATGTGGCTGCATGTCACGCCCATGTTTTTATCTCTCTCACTCACTCTCTCTCTCTCTGTATGCATTACTTTCATCATTTTACAACTTCCACGTTCATGTCCAGCTAATTATCATATCATTCTATTCTCGCCAGCGGACACACAAACCACAATGAGTGAAAGTAAGATTTTCAGCGATGTTTTTTGTTGAGTGAAGATGTTTTTAATTAGTTTTATGCATTCAATTGCGCAAGTGGAAACTCAAAAAAATATTCGTTCAATTTTTTGTGCGAAAATAATGTTCACAACTTGTAAATTACAGTATTATAGTGCTTACAGTATTATTGAGTACATAGGATCATTCCTATATTTTTTTAAGAAATAAGAAAATTTTATGTTTGAAAAAAAAAAAAAAAAAAGAAATTTTACCTACGAACGAACATGTTAGTAGATTCTACGAACGAACGAACGAACGAACGAGCGCTCGTTGACCGCTCTGCACAACAGGCGAACAAGAAAGAAAAACGGACGGTGAAAAAAACGCCGATCCGATGTAAACCGTAAGACGATGGTGTGGCAGAAAAAATCGAAAAATAAACAAACAATAAAAATCCAAATGCATATTTATTTACATAGTATGTGCAATGATTGTCTGTCTGTGTGCACTGCCTTTCACGATGCTTTCGCACAAATACGAGGAGAAAAAAAACAAGAACGAAAAGCACCGAAACATACTTGCTGTGTGAACTCGGTTGACTGAGTTTTCGAGTCTCGATGCTTAAGATCCGTGTGAAATCGAAAACAAAATAGAAGGAATAATGCAAAAACACACACAGCAAGCAAATGGAATCGGCAAGAGAGGGCAAAGAAGAATAAGAAGAAAACGGTCGCTGAAATGTGCCGACACATAGCAGAATCGAAGGCAAAAGTAGCGCAATCATATCGAAAGTAAAATAGAGCGTGTTTTTGTTGTTGTTGCTGCAACCATCTGCCATTATTTTCTTTTCGCCGCTTTCTCTCTCTCTCTCTCTCTCCCTCGCCATCGCTATCCCAACGCAAATATTTATTTCCATTTATTCTTTATTTCGATGTTCGTGTTCTCTGTTTCTCTAGGCGTTCTATTTTTTCTTTCTACTCTTCTGCTTGTTATTTCCCAATTCCACATCACTGTTGCCCGGAATGAATTTCCTTTTGGTGAAGTTACTGTTTGATTTCTATCTAGAGACTTACCATCGAAGCAGCAGCAGCCACAATACAATTTAAACGATCACCATGGACCAAAAACTGCACATAAAACTTTGATTATTGTTTTTATTTCCTTCATCGTTTTGTATTCAAAAACAATTCGGTGATGATTTGTGGTGTATGTGTGAATCGACAGATGCATGCAGACAAAAACCGATCAGGCATCGAGGTGAAATCACTCGTAAAATCCCCATATTCTCAGCACATCAAAATAACCTGCTCAACTTGGACTACTCACAGATGCTATGCAAATGAAGCACTATTCAATGACAAAATCGATTTACTTGAGCTATTTGCCACAATTGAGCTGGGTTGGGCGTTGTTTTTTTTTTTCGAGGCGCTACAAGAGGATCATAAAGTTTGGCTCGAAGTAAACAAAAAGTGTGTGTGGCAAAACTGGGATGAGAACATGTGCACAAAAATGCGCTTAATGCCGCCAGTTATTGCTTTATATGCACATACACGATGGTGTTGTTG